AGCCAGGGTCTGCCTTCTTTCACCGTGTTCGCTCGAGCGTGGCCGAGAATAATAGCTGGAAAGCCGGCTGAGGATCTCAATTTTTATGGCGTGTCTTAACACTTCCCGGCGCGAAGGGGTTAAGATACATGTACACTGTTTCTACTGGGAACAACACAGTTTTACCAGAGGAACACCTTGAAATTGTTTTGCACACATTACATGGCAATGGCCTGTTCCCATCAGCAACACAAAGAATTCCCATTACTGAATTATAGTGTACCGTAAAGCATGTTCCAGCAGGAAAACTTGAACTTTCTGACATGGGATTTTACTTACATTACCTTGATTGTCAGGCCAACTGTACTTTCAAATCAGAAGATCCTGTTTTGAGAAGACATAAATGATTCTACTACTTCAAAGCTAAAAATAAGAGACAAATAGGATACAGAGAAAAGCAATTAAAATATGAAGACCACAAAACAACATGACAATATGAGACAAACTTGTGTGAGTGTGAGGCATGCAATAGAGGCATGCGAGCCTAACTTGCATTGCTTGAGTCTCACTTCGTATGTGCCAGTTTCAGCCCTACTTTAATATACTTTCAGTTTTGATTTCTATACTACCATTCAACCTGAGGATTTATGTCTTGGCCCTTTTCATGTTTGTTTTATGCAAATTCCCTTCTGATGATTACTATTCTTTCCACATGGCTACTGGACAGGATTGCAGAAGAGGACAGATCAGTCAGCCAACATTTTGTCACTACTCATCAAAGCAAATGACTCTGTTTTCTCGCCTAGCTTTCTCTGCCTCAAACACCAGTAGATGAGTGCTTAGAATTTCTTTTGGTGATGCTGGAACGATAGATGGGTCCTTCATCTGAAATAGCAAAATTCACAGCTGTAAGACAGGTTGTAAAGTTATGCACATAATTCATCAATCAGGTATAATATTCCTTGCTTTTAAAGAAGAAAGAAAGAACATCTCTCCAAAAAACTAAAACTAGTGCAAGATAAACATAAAAATAAGTGAACTTGAGAACCATCAAACTATGTAAGCAATGTCGAGTGTAAGTTGTACTGCCACTTCAAAAAGCATGTTTCAATGTTATGAAAAGTGACATAATATTTTTGAATTTAAAGCCCAGTTGGATGTAACAATGTAGAAACCAAAAAGAAAGAGTTTAAACGACTTGAAAACTTTCTTGAAATCTTCAGGTAATGGAAGAACAAAATCTAGTGATATCTCAACTAAGTCACTAGATATCTCAAGTTTTACATGTACAAAGAACAGTAGAGCAGGCTCATCTAATGGGAAATGCTTCCAATGAGCTGTTCACCAAAACTCCCTCCAACCATCTTCCCTTACCCCAGTAATCTCACCTAGAATTATATAATACCAGCCAGTAAGGAACATTTGTCCACTGTGAGGTGAAACTCCAATCATCATCTCTTGACAAAAGCTGTTTGGAGATCCTGGCATAAAACAGGCTGCAGTGTGTTATGTGTCACTCCTTGGATTTATTTCTGTATGAACAAATACTTACTGCCACAGCATGGACAAAGTTGTCTATTAGACAGAAATCTGCAATGTCATGGCCCATTACACTTCTTCGCACACTAGCTGATGAAGGGAAATCTATACCAACGTCTATCGTCTGCTGACTGAGGAAGTCATAAAGCTGTACTTCACCCTTGGCATTCAAGTTAATTTCCCCCTGCATATCAATACATCAATACCTAGCAGTTTGACATAACGTTCTGAGACATACCAGCGGTAATTTACACTATATAGAAGCAAAGCTTGTACTGTGGTGCATCACCAAGAGTCTTTCAAAGAGAAGCCATCTTGCACAGGGTATTAAGAAACACAACTGGACAAGTGCACGCCAGCTGACATTTGCTCAAGAATCAGCAGTTGTATGTTTTGGGCGCATGATTGCAGTTTGAATTGTGTGTAAATGATAAGTAAATTGTAAAGCCTGGTTTGCATGGGTTGAAACGAACACAGATGGCACGCAAAATGTCAAGACACAGACAGTCGTGAGAGAGACGCTGCGTGACGGCATTCCACCAAAAAATTAAACAAATTGGTGTCTGAAAGTCAGAAAATTTTTGCATAAAATGCCTTGTATAGGTGGAAATACCACCCTTGGAACCAAACTGATAATCCAGTTTGATGTATTTTTTTTATGATCAGCTATTTTGTTGATCAATGGGGCTGCATATGCCAGTAAAAGCAGAAAATGAACAAAATGGGTGGTACTAAGCAAGAGGAACATCGTATGGTCGTCATGCCAGTGTGCATGTATAGGCCGCTCAGTGACTCAATGCACAATCAGCAAAGTTGAACCGGATTCAACTTTGTCAATCCGTCTGGAGTTGGTTTGCATATGTTTGGGTATTGGCAACATACATTTCGTTTGATATGTTTCCATATGTCTGTGATACAGCGTGCATCTTGATTGCATTGCTCTCTGCATTTTTTATGTCAATATGGAAACCAGGCTTAATGCTTAAGTTCATTCAGTACCACATATATAGTGAAGATACTGATGATTGGTGTTTTGTGGCCAGTAGCAAAGTTCATGCACTTTCACATCCTTTGAGTATATACATGTACCGGTATATCGACATGAAAATATCAAAGGTGAATTATCTAACCTGAAATTGCACAGTCAGAGAATAAAAGGAATGTAGTGAAGAGGATGCACAATTGTTCCAATTGATTACCTTTGTTCCAAAGACTCGGACAATTCTTTTACACACACTTTCTGTAAAAGCCACCATAGTTAGCGTTGCTGTATGTCCTCCAAAAAAGCGCAGACTAACAACCTTCATATAAACAGACAAAAGACACAGTAATGACAACTGGTAGTATACAGAAAGGTAGATGGTTCATATGCAGAATAATAGATATGCATAATAATAAAAGATAGCTTGTAATGAGGTAGTGACAATACTATAGATCATGTAGGGTAGAGATGTTGGGAAGTAGTGCTGGACAGATGACATAAACTCACAAACACTGAAAACCAGTCACAGCATTACATGCACAAAAACCCTTCAATACATAGGTAACAGAGATAAATGTCCATGTAAGAAAAGGGAAAACAGAAAGCACTACACAAGGCAGAAATGTATGGTACATGTATGATAATAATGAAGTTATATATACATGTAGTATAATGACCGTATACAGAGACCAACTTTCATCAAATCATGGAATGAGGTATGTCCGGTTTTATTAATCCAGCAAGACTTTTTTGAAGTACTCTTTCACTGACTATTAACAAATACTAACAAGATAGACCATCCTGATTGGTCCAGAGCTCATTACATGGGTGTTTCTTCAGTGCCATTCCAAAAAAAAAAAAGATTTGGCTATAGGATAGGAGTGTTTCGCCAAACACAACGAAATTGACAGATTTCTAATCAAAATGTTCATTTTTGCCTTTCTAAGAAGTGTAAAAAGTGTAAAATGTATTTACAAATTGGAATAAAAGGGCGATTGAGCAGTTTCTTAAAAAATACATCTGAAACTAACCATGGGCCTCTGGCTGACAATGGACCATGCTCTCAATTTGGTTTGAAAGTAATCTAAAATAAATCATTTTGTGAAACCTACCTGTAATTTTTAAGCTTTAAATACTGCCCACTTTATGCAAATTAAAGTATTTTACTAAAAGTGACAATTGAAGAGGTAGACATTTGTTGTTCTGATTCAACAGCCATGCTTATTAAATACTGGGGCCAATTTCATAGCACTGCTTAAGCGAAAAATTTGAGCATGAAATATCCTTGCGTGGCAAATCGGGTTACTAGCCAAAACTTCTTATGATGTACATTGTCGTGAAGAGGTATTTACCTGTCTTTTGGTTTATAGCTTGACCGCAGTCACACAGAGTTTGAGCTGGTAACCTTTGTTTATTAATCAAGGTTTTTTTGTGCTTGAGCAAACTCTGCGCTTAAGCAGCTCTATAAAACTGGCCCCTGGTTCTGAACACCTCTTGACCGTGTCTAATCATTCGATAAAAACCACCTGGACCAGTCACAAAACTCAAACTGTCTCAGTTATTTATAAACAAAGGTTCTGTAACTTCAGGGCTTCTTGTACCTCTGGGAACAATTTTGTTTCCTTGCTTCCTTGTGAACAAGAATACAAGGTATTTAGTAAGTAAAACTATGAAATAAGGTGTTCTCAGGAAAAGTTGCATGCCATCTGACCTTACAGTCGCACCACAATGGGCCATAAAATACAATGAACGTTCTTACTTATCTGCTACACCTACCTGATTGTCACACACGTCATTGTCACTGTCATACACACATCGTCCATATGGCCCATTTTGTAAAGCCTTCGTGATGGAGTCTATTGATGGTTCATGGCAGATAACTGAAACTGGCCAATCAGAAATACCCTGCAAGATCACATGGGATATCACACTTAAGAATACAATAACCAGAGCCTTTAAGTTCCAACTATTTACAAAATCCACAGGAATATGAATTGCTTCCATCAGGGAAGCAGCAACCATTTCTATGTTCAAACAAGTAATAGTATTTGTACATCTTTCATAAGAGTAAGGTTAATAAAACTTTGCCAACAGTTGAAAAAGCATTGCAAAAAATTGGCCCGGAGAATAAAAATGCAATATGGTCTATTAACATGTACCAAAGCTACAATGAGAATGCTTAATTCCACTATGAGATTTATTTAATTGAAGCAATGTCACCTGAACACTTCAGAATGATCTTCATTCAGTGAAGTCATCAACCCTAACTCCCTAGGGTGTGTGCAAAATCAGATTAAAATTGGAGGATTCAGGAATGTTAGGGCTATAGACCATCAATACTTTGTTTCAACATTCATGAGGCTACCCTTTAACCTTTTCACTTGAGAACCAAGATTTTGTGTGTACCTTGTTGGACTGGTCTCAATTCAACTAGAAATATGGACTAATCTCAGAAATGAACCCTTACCATGCTTTTACAATATTCTATGTAGGAGTAAAAGGAGAGTGTTGATGACCAATGAGACTGTACTAAAGGAAATGCAAAAGGAGTTTATATGACAGTTACTGGTACAATCAAGTCATCCAAAAACAATCACACCAATCTCAGAGTCACAAGTTATTCAAATAAAGAGCCTCTGGCACAAAGGTGTAATGTTTCTCAATACAAATACATTTTATTTCTGACTTTACTTGCAATTGACTGAACTATAGTTCTGCAATATACATGTAGCAGTGCTGGCCTACAAATACTTGTATATATGTGGCTTGCTCTGTACAGTGTCAGTGATCTTGATCAACTAGAACATTAAAAGGTGACAAAACACAGCTGTTAGGGCTTAATAAGTTAGACCGTTCTCATTTTGAATGTAACAGTGCATACCTTTTCATACATGTTCAAGTAGAGTTTCTTGGCTGAGTAGCAGCAGTCTTTCTCAATCTTACAGTCTAGGCATCTAGTGGCTGAACCAGGAGGCTGCAATAAATCAAACCCAATGTCAATTCAAAACCTCATTTTAAAGACTGTCTAAAACACCATATTGTTACTGTAAAAACAGACAAGGCAAAATGTAATATTCCTTACATCAAGAAGCAGGCGCATGATACCTGTGTCTTTTGGAAAACCTATGAGATAGGGCTGGCATGCAGATACAGCAAGGCCATGGTACTTTGTGTTCCAGGTATGTCCAGTAACTTATAGCACACACAGGTCAGGGTAATCAAACCATTGGAAGTGTCACATATCTGACAATTAAACAATCTACGGACAATATGGCAGCCATGCAGACATGCAACCAAAAAGGGCCATTTTAACACCACCATATATGCCAGGATCAAGCATGGTAAGACGTTTTGACCATTCAGTATGTAGTAAATGGAATAAACAATAATGTGTCACACAGAATTTTCACACAATGTATTGAACCTTTTGAGCACTTCCAAGGAACATGATGTCCATTTCTTGAATGTCTCCATAGTTAATGCCACATCATAATGTTAACTCTGTTAACACTAAACCCTCCAGGGATTGCAGTGTGGTGCACAGGTCTACCCACACTTCTGGTCTCATACAGCTCAAATACATGTCAATTTTACCTGATGAGTGGCTGCATCACTAACTCTTTTGGAAAGCTCCTCTATCATATAGTAAGACTTTGAGTAGCCACTCTTTTGATCAGGTAGGTTATTCTAGTCATGGTGAAGCACCGGTACAGGTCTGGATGCACTTGTTCTTACTCATTCATATACATGTATGTTTCACAACATAAACATTTATCTTAGTAAACCTGCTTCCTAACAGCCTTGCCATCACTTATTCCTGTAATGAACGTTATTTATCCAGAAAAGTAGCTTGTATGATCTCCATGTACATGTACAGTAACCATGGAAACTGTTAGGAAAATTGTTTGGGGTTTACACATCCTTCAGCATTAACTCTTTAAGCTTCAACCTGAATGGCAAAATTGCATGCAAGAAGCTCACTGTATATATGATGCAGAAGATATTACCTACATGTTGGGGTAGATCGAGGATAACATCCTTGAAATCACTTGAACGTCATGAAGTCCCTTCCTCAATTAAAAGTGATTTGGCAATCATAGTGTCCAGATCTACCATGACCAAAGTGCTACACTGAATGCTCAGCCCTACATTTTGTCACCATTTTCACAAAGAGACAATTAGGCCCAAAGTCATGATTTTTTTCATTTTCCTTTTTCTTTGCAAAATCAACTGGGCTATTTACAACTTGGTGTAATCATTTTTTACCAAATCTACCGAAATCAACCAAATCATGATGATCTACCTTGGGCAAAATTCAACTATACCGCAGTTTGTGTTTTCACAAGAGGTAAATTTGTCTTAACGGTTTTATATAGCATTAGCCATAAAGGGCAAACCATGGGCAAACTTGTTTTGCAGGTTTCATGAAGAGGTGAATTTGACTTCAGAAATGGATACAAATGTAACAATTTTGCACCTGGAACGCGTTATAGCCAAGTCACACGAACTCTAGCATTGTTATGAATAGAGGAATGTGTTTGTTTACATAATAAACAATTTCAATTCAAAGTGACTTCTACATTATTCTGTAGTTTTGTGTCATTAAAGAGCCCCTCTTTCACGAAGCAGGATTGGTTAAGTCAAAGCCATGCTAAAAACTGGGGAATTAAATGTTGAAAAAAAAGAGACCAACTTCAGATATGATTTTCTTGAAACCTAGGTTTTACTCTCCGGAGAGAAATTGGCTTCTTCATAAAAGCGGTCATGATTTAGATCAACCTGAGATCTCTGCTTAATGCAGCTGGCTTGGTCTTTCAGTGAAAGCTAAAGCCTTATGGCAGCCATGAACAGATGAGGATCCATTTCTAAGGAGATACGTTGATTTTTTGACACAGGAAGTATCCCTAGAATTGGTATCTACTGGATTTCCCAGGGGTTGAAAATTACATTAAATGTTTACCAACCTTATTTTCCTTTCTGAAGTGGGACAGCGACCCAAATGAAGATACCCCAGTGCATCTGTGGAATTTACAAATGGCATCAGACACATGAAACATACTACTGAATAAAACATCAGTGTAGAGAGTTAAGTAATGAATAGTATAGAAGACAACTCGTTCAATAATCATTGTGATGGTATTGCTCCCAGACTACTTAACTGCTTAAGGCTGGTTGTAGACAGCTTGCAAAATAACCGGCCCACACTATGAATTTAAGCCCCTCCACTGGTTCTGTTCCCTTAGTCTGGAAGATGAGTAGTATATCCCCTATTTATAAGAATGGGCATCATCACCTTGATATGAATAATTACAGGCCTATCTCTGTACTTCCTACTTGTATGAAAATTTTCAAGAAGCTTGTCCACGAACAATTGCCAGACCACTTTGATCCGAATAGCATTCTTTCTGAAAACCAGTTGGGCTTCAGGCCAATGCACCCCACCCAAACATGTCTTTAGAAAGTGTCTGATTACTTAATTAAAAATATGCCAGGTGCAGTTTTTTGTACTTAAAGCATTTGACACTGTTCATCATGCTTGTCTTATTGACAAATTGTACAATATTGGAGTGCGTCGTCTTGAGCTTGATTGATTCAACAGCAGGGATGCTAGCAGGTTACAAAAATTGGTGGCAAGTATTCTACCCCTGCTGGAGTTAATTTTGGAATACCTCAGGTATCAACATTGGGTCCACTCTTTTTACTCTGTACATTGACACTATGATATTTTTACATGCTGGTGACATGGCATCCTTCACTTGTGATAAATCTGTTGATGGCAAGAGTTTTAAACAGGGATATGACTGAAATGGCTGAAAGTATCTAGGTGTGTGGCTGGATCCATCATTAACTTGGAATGAGCATATTGGCAGACAAGTTAGAAAAGCCAATAAAAGTGTGGGAGGTATCTGGAGGATTAGAGGTGTTCTCCCACAGCACACTTTAAGCCTGTTGTACAAAACTCTGATTCTGCCTCACTTTGATTACTCTGATGCTGTTTGGAGAAATTCCACAAAAATAGTCCTCAACAGGCTCAAAAGAAATTCAGAACAGCTGCTGGACGAGTTATCCTCAGTCTACCACAGAGAACCCCAAACAGCATGTCTTATCAACATTACAATGGAATACCTTGGAAGAAAGGCATACTTTTCATTTAAATACATTGGTCTACAAAAGTATTATTATGCAGTGACCATCACAAATCTATGCAACTGTTTCTTTCACACTGTTGATGCACATTCTTATAATACTCTGTCAATTTCCAAAGGTAACCTTATTTCACTCAGTAAATCAAATTCAGGTAAACGTAAATTAATGTTTGTGAAGCTGACACATTAAATGTCCTGCCTATGTACCTCAGAAGTCCACTGCCAGCAACTGTACTGTAACTAGTTTTAAAAACAGTTACAAAGCCTTGATTTTTTAATACTTGTATGTATGGGTGTTAATGAAATTTACTTATTTTGATGTTTGTCTAATGTACATCAGCACATGGCTGGATCATGTTAATTAACATTTTGTGTACTTATTTAACTGATTTTTACTCTTTAACTCGATTTTGACTTTACTCTTTTCTCGGTGCAGTATTAACTGTTGTTTTCAATGGATTTTATAGTAATTGCTGGGAATCACTGAGCAGTCTCCCCAGGGTAAATAATAAATACATGTATACAAAGGAATCAGAAAAAAGTGGCATTTCTTATCTCTTACCATGATGACCCCCTCACACAAGACAAATTTGTTAGACCCTATAAACAGAGTACATGGCCACTGTAAAATGCACCTTTGTCTCAGCTATCTTTATTTTAATTTTTGTTTCACAATTTTAAGGGGTATTTTGCTGATGTTTTGGTTTTATGCTAATGAGATATCTATATTCATGAACAAAACTGTAACGCCATCATGGAAGGAAAACCTTAATGTTACACTAAGGCCGTGTCCGAATTACTTGGCTGTGGCCTGAAATTACGCACGAGTCTACAGTAATGGCTGAAGCCAGTCCCCATATAGTCATGTGTAATTTCAAGCCATAGTCAAATAATTAGGATGTGGCCTAAAATGTCTGTGCATGCACGGAAACTGCTACCTTTTACAGCTTTTTGCTGGCCAAGTAAATTTTCTTTACTTTGAATATTCATTGATGTGTGAACACATTGCAATAAGCAAGCAAGTAACCCTCTCTAAGATATGTTTTCAATAAGGAAATTCTGATTCCACAATTCAAAGAGAAAAACCTATGCACAGAGTCCCAGAAAAAACCAAACGCCGAGGAAAGGGGTTAATATACCCAACCATAATATGATTATAATGTATAAGGATCTCCGAAAAGTACAAGCAGCATTCTTTCTAATGATACCTTGATGGTATCCCTCCTGTCATGTATGACTAAACATGTATGGTTGAAAGTGAAACAAAAAGTCATGTTAATGACTTTTGCATGGAGACTTCAGGAGGAGACGGGAGTTTGCTCAATGGCTCCTAGAATGCATCCAAAGTGTTACAACTGAGCTCAGATGCCCCATTTTCAAGACAATGGTGCTCAGTCATGCATGACAGGAGGGATACCATCAAGGTATCATTAGAAATAGGTATCATTTCAGAGATCCTTATACATTACAATCATATCTCATGGTTTGGGTATATTAACCCCTTTCCTCAGGGTTTGGTTTTCTCTGGAACACCCTGAAGAGTATTCTGAACTATTTTTGTGGACAAAAAAAATCATAAGCATTCTACCTATATACAATTATCAGTTTTGCATTGGACCATATTGACTCATGTTCAAAATCAATAACTTTCGGGACATAATCTGAAATGAGTTTCACTGCAATTACAAGAGGGACTATCTAGTGATATTCTGCCTTGGTCCATGTACCTTTCACTCCAATAGAACAGGACAGATCAGATCCTAACGTCACATGCTTCCTCCCCCCCAAAAAAAAATGAGTGCCCTAAGAGCCCCCAGCAAACTCAACCCAATTGACACCACTGCTGTTAGATTAACCCTAACCCACCTCAATCCTTCACCTGTTGGAGGACTGAGGAGTGTTAGGGTTAAGGTTCTAATAAATTTTCAAAGTTTTTGTGCCATATGAAGTTAGCTGCAGGGATACTGCAAATGCACCACAGCAATAAATGGTTGACAGGATGCAACTAGGAAAACACCTTTCCTGTAATGTAGGAAAAGCTGGCAAATGTCTCAACATACGGCAGTGTTTATTTTGTGTGCCCCTTACAAGCAGCAAAATCCAAGATACAAGACTATTAAAAATCATAAAATACCATGTTCCAAATTACTCCATACCATGTTCCAACTTACCCAAGTTATGGGGCAGTACTTATCAAGATTTAATCCCACCATGCATGATTTATTGTATCGAAAGGGGCTTTAGTTGTGGCAATTCCATGAAGAAGTGGTCAAAGGTTTAAAAAAAAAAGGAAATTTAACGTATCTTCAGAACAAGCATCAAAATAATAAATGTACTATCAAGTTAAAGAGAACAAGAAGACCTTTCATTTGAGTGGTCTGCTAATGAGATGGAATTTACTTAACTCTGGCTTTTAGTTAAAACCCTGTTTAGGGGCTAAAATCATGGGTATGTATGATACCCATTTTGGCACCTTGTTTTAGCATGCTCAGCAGGACTGTTTTGTAACTTGTTGTCATGAAGCCAAAGAGAAAGGTTCATATTCTGTGCTGAACAAGCTTTTTTATTTGATTGCAATCTCTTCCATGAACAAGATGGGTAGACGAACTGCAACGTAACTAACCAAAATCTTTGGGCAATACTATCAACTGATGAGAAATTGAGAAATGACAAATGGCAAAACAGTCAGTAGGCAATCACAGAAATGCTATAATTTTACTCAGCACTAAGCAGTATCCCACTTCAGGAAACTCTGTCTGCAAACATATTTCTTTGTTATTCTTGTCCATTTCTTAATGTTACTAACCAAGATTACATGCCCAATTACATCTCACAAATCATCAAGTGTCACTAAATTTGCTTATGGCTTTGTTACAAATCTTGGCAAGATGTACTGATGGTACCAATATGAAGAACTCATCCCTACATGCGTTGATGGATCAATACGCCCAATGAGTGATGCAACATTACTTCAAATATAACAAAACTAACCATGGAATTGCCTTTATACATACCGGTACATGGCTTTTCTTAAGCCTGGTGTATTATGAGCACTATCTGCTTTCCCTCAGTTTATTCATGAACAGTAGCACAAACAAAATTGTTGTCAATTATGTAACTATGCAAACAGTGGTTGAGTTCAGATACACTCAGAAAAGTCTTATCGTGTGCAGTATGACATAACAGGTTGGTACAGAGGCTACTTTCTTTTCTTTACCTTCCACTGCTTTGACCTGTGACCTAAGATTGAATCCTACCTCTGCCTACAGTGGATTGGTTTCTCAGTCCCTTACCCAATTTCAGGGGATTTTCCAAAGAATAATTCAGGTAAAATACTGCAGGAAAAATTCAGGGAATACACAATTGTTTGAAAATTACAACAAAAATTGTTGTTATTACTTGTAACGATGGTAAGCCAACAGGCTTGACATTAAGTGGATCACTGGTCATACTTTAGCAACCTTTGCAACCCGACCCAAGCTAGAAACAAAATCGATACCAATCATAAACATACAGGTTCTATTCAAAAAAGTTAAGGACCACTAATTTCTTAAGTTATAATTTTTTCTAAGCAATGAGTGGGGTCTAGTTCTTTTATTTGTTTGTCTAGATGGTGTTCTCATTGGAATAAAAAACTTTTGAATGTTTCAAAACATAAAATGCACATTTTCTCAAAATGGATAGTTTCAGGAAAAAGTCAGATAAAAAAGGGGTCTTTAACTTATCTTGAGTAGTGTATATTACAAAATGTGCCTGATCCCTGTAACGATCCAGGTCAGTCTTGGAAAGTTGGGGTACTGAAGCAACCCATAGGACTGTAGTGGATGTGTGCTGGGCTTTCAGTTGTTGTCTGTTGTCCAACTAGAGACACCTCCTAAACATAAAGTATAACTCACTTGTACTTGCTCATCCACCACGATAGGAGGTCAACATCATGGCAACATTTGGCAAGTAGCGAAAACGTAGATTTGTCCTCACAACACCAGTTTCCACGGACAAAGGAATGTGCAAAGTGCCAAAATCCAACCTGGAACACAAAGGCAATTATCATAGTATCAGTATTCAGGAATATACAACATGCATGATTTGTTGGTTCAATTTGATCACTTGGTGGGTGACTTACACACTGATTCCAACAGTTAAATGTGAAGAAACACAGAACACCATGCATATACATGTACTTCTTATTGTTGTACCAATGATCAAATTTGTTCAAATGCATATAGTACATGTACATGTGTGTATTACATTGTATGTGGCGTACAAGTATCTAACTTTTGTCACAGCAATGTGCCACAAAGAAATATACAGAAGAGCATAAGGGGTATAGGCAACACATTTTTTCCCAAATGGTACTGCCATTGGGAGTTAACGTTTCCCTGCGGTGAGTTATTATCTTGACTATCTGGCTGCAGTGAGTAATACACTTTGCCATGGCATATCGATATCCCACCACGGCCAATACCTGAACAGTTTTATAAGTGCTATTCAGTCTACCATCATTCTCAAATGTATCCTTAGAATGGGATGCAGTGAAGTTGGTTTAAGCCTGCTTTGAAAAAGCTATGTTTCAAATAAAGAAAATCTTTCTTTGGGACGTGAATTTCCATATTTGGATGAAGGGGTAATGTTTTTAATTCCCTCCAATTTTTTCCGCAGCAAAAGCATATAGCTTGCCATAGCCAGACAGATGGTCAATGGATAGTAACTCACTGCGGCAAGATAATATAGCTCGCCATAGCCAGATAGATGGTCAGTGGATATTAACTCACTGTGGCAAGATAACTTGCAAAAGTTATAACAGTGATTATATTATGTGCTGTAATGAGGCCAATTCCTTGACTGATGAATAGCCTGGGTGAGGTAGAGTCAGGGACCAAACAAAACTAGCAAATATGAAGGTAAACTGTAAAACAATGCACTGAATTGACCCTTTAAAACATTAAATACACAAATACATCATATGCATGCCCATCAAGTACATGTAGATGCATTATGCACAGCGTAAAGTATACATGATGCAGATGCATCAGTTCACATGCTGTGTATGTATAATGCTCCAATAAATTCTGCACCTCTTAGAATGCTTTGCAAGGGATTTGCTGTAAATGTGAAATGCATAAATGAGCTCCACTTTATGATTCAAACCACACTGGAAGTTTGATTCCGGAAACAAAATATAAATGGTGATAATATGTCAATATGTAAGCATATAAAATGAACCAAAAGGTTAGAATGGCCGGGGCAGTGAGAGAAATTGAGCCACCTCTCATCTTCTAAAATACCCCATTAGGTTAGCGTCTCCGAAAGCCTCTCCTAACAAACCCCTACTGCTTGGCTTCTCGTGCCAGCCCATGCTTAAAACTGAGAGCAGAGGTGTGAAAGGCGAGTCTCTGGTGCCTCAAAACCAGACAGCTCCAGGTAGGCGGGGCTCAACAGCCATGGGAGGTAACCCACCTAGGAGAAGGGAAACTCTGACCACAACCCCCCAGCCATGGGTAATTTGGTCCCATTGCCTTGTGGGTAATCTTGGGAAAGACCAAGGCTAGAGGAGTCAACCTCAACAGGAAATCAGGAGGGGAGACCCTTAAGGCAGTTTGGCGGCAAATTCTGTCTTCACTCTGGCAGCTCCTGCATCCCAGTCGTGGTCAAGACGGTATGTTTTGCATCCCTCTTGGCTAGAGGCTTGGCTTGGCTGAGAGGTTGTGGTACTTGGGCAGCCAAAGACCTCCATACACCTCTTCGCCCTGGATTCAGAGACACCACTAATCTTTCCTCCTTTTGACGTCTGTCTAAAGTCCTGGGGCGACAGGCGAGTGGCAACAGTGGCAGGTGTAAGATGGCACTGGGAGCTGCTAGCCACGGACCTGCACTCAGGCGGTCAAGGTGGGGTGGTCACTCTCTACTCACCTGAGGCAAAGGTAGGGCTCTGCAGCTACCTTAGCGATGGAGCAGCCCTCTTGAAGGGCAGCACTGCTCCCCCTCTTAGAGAAGGGTCTGAAAAAGGTGACCTAAACAAAGCTTTCCTCAATTCATCGTGTCAGGTTATCACAGCTGACTGGACATCTAATTTGCGGTCAAAACTCAAATGAAAGATCTACGAAAAATCCAAGATCTGCCAACAAACACACTCTTCGTGTTGGATCCTGGAACATAAGAACCCTAATGGATAGAAAGAACTGCGACAGACCAGAACGTTGAACTGCACTGATAAGGCATGAGCTGAGTGATACAATACCGATATTGCCGCCCTCAATGAAACACACTTGGCAGAAACAGGGGAGATTACTGAAACAGGTGCTGGTCACACTTTCTTCTGGTCAGGAAAGTCACCAGAAAAGCCAAGGGAAGCGGGAGTTGGCTTTGCTGTTCGCACTTCACTTGTCACCAACCTGGAATCCCTTCCAAAAGAATCAACGATCATCTGATGGTGATGAGACTCCCACTGAAAGGAAAGACACATCTGACGCTCATCAGTGCATATGCCCCCACGATGAGCCACACCCAGAAGCAGAAAGAACTGTTCTACCAGAACCTCACAAGCTTGGTACTCTCAGCCCCACGTGAAGATAAGCTTCTACTACTAGGTGACTTCAATGTCCGTGTTGGCAGAGACTCCCAGTTATGGCTGGCTGTCATTGAACTCCATGGCACAGGACAGCAGAACTCAAATGGCCAGCTGCTCCTTTCATTTTGCTCCGAGCATGGTCTGACCATCACAAACACTCTGTACAAGCTACGTGACATCCACAAGACCACAAGACCTCAGGTCAAAACACTGGCACCTGATTGACTATGTGATCACCAGACGCTGTGACATCCGAGATGTACAAATTACAAGAGCAATGAGTGGGGCAGAGTGCTGGACTGACCACTTAATGCTGAGATCCAGAAAACACAGACGTCAAAGTAGCAGGACATCCAGAAGCTGGATGTCCTGAAACTCTCTGATCCTGAAACACAAGCAACCCTCGTTGCAAACCTCAAGGACCGGATTGACAGTCTACCATCTGAAGCAATCCAGCAGCAGCATGGACCAACTTCCAAAATACTGTCTACAGCACTGCCAGACTCACTTGGTTACCCAAAGCGAAAACACCAGGATTGGTTTGACAGCAACGACAAAGAGATTACCAGCTTGCTGAAACAGAAGCAGGAAGCAGGACCTGCTGGCTAAACAACAAAAACTCACCTGCCAAGCAAGAACATCTCAAGCATCTCAGAAGCAAGATCCAAACTGAGTTGCGATGGATGAAGAACCAGTGGTGGGAAGCAAAGGCTGCAGAACTACAACATCATACAGATGAGGAAAAACTCTAAGAAGTTCTTTGCTTGGGTGAAGGCTGTGTACGGCCCTTCTTCCAATACTATGGCACTTGTTAGATCTGCTGATGTCAGCCTCCTCACAGGAAAGAGCGACATAGTTTTGCATTGGAGTAACTACTTCAGTCAGTTGCTTAACAGACCCTCTCACATAGATCAGCAGGTAATCCAGGACATGCCTCGGTGCATAGCCTTGGCATCCCTTGATGACCCTCCTAGCCTGGAGGAAACCTAGCGAGCCATCAAGCAGCTCCAAGTCGGTAAAGCTCCTGGCCCTGATGGGATACCCCCTGAAATCTTCAAGGAGGGAGGAGAGCCTGTGACAACTGAGCTCAGGGACTTGATGTAGCTCTTCTGAGAGGATGGTTCGGTCCCACAGGATTTTAAGGACGCCAACATCATCCACCTTTATAAGAACAAAGGTGACAGCAGAGTTCGGAATTAGACCAAAAAAGTGCTCGGAAAAAATGTCATAACACAATCAAGTTTGTTCAGCCATTACCAGCTTTTTATCTGCCATACTATATACAAGGTAGAGTTGTAACGTGCAGTGTCAGGGGCCGAAATTAATTTTTTTTTCCTTGGTCCTACCAGAACCATACACGCAGCTGCATTAAGTAATCCTTCTTAAGGTGCAGGCTGCGGCGATTTTTTGTTTTTTTTCCCCCGATTGGGTAAGCCATAAATTTGCTTGCTCGAATTGGATCAACACTTGCTAAAGATTTCTTAGAATCAATGATTATTATGGCTATGTAACTAAGGCCTACTGCATACGTGAAGTCTTTTATTAGGCCCCAAAAATAGTTGTGCTAATAAATATGCATGCCTTCCAAAATTGGGTCAGTGGGTTGGACCTTTTTGGGGGGGGGGCAATTTTGTGCTCAGGCTGATTGAGTAGCATTAGCTGGGACGACTGCCTCCAAAAGTATCTCAAAAAGTGATGAACACCTGTCTTAATCTAGATAAAAATTTCTACATATGGTCAGCCACTCTAAAACTACAGAGACTGTCTAAAGATGTCCTTGTAACTCAATGTAGCTGGGAGACTTGGCCACTGACCATAGTGCTTGGCGACTTGCAGTCCAAAATGGAGTAAGGCATATGAGGAGAGGCGTCTGCAAGATCTGGACCTGAAGCATCAAGTCTGTAAAGAGAGGAGACCTGATCCAACAGCTGCTGCATGCCCACAGTGTGGCCGCATCTGCACATCGTACTTTAGGCTACGTTCCCACCTACGTTCACATCAACGACGCCTCTGACGTCTTAGTCACCCGCGACTGCCTTCCATGAATGAATGAATAAAAGGTAGTCAGTGAAAGCTTGGAATTTACCTGCTCGATGTGTTGTATGTTGACAACATCACCCACAGCACCACTGTCAATCAGTTCCTTAATCTTGCTCATGGGGGGATAATGACGTAAAACATGGCAGACTGACAGAATGATGCTATTAAGCGTACAGGCCTCAACTATGTCACGACATCCTTGCTCTGTTGTCTGCAATCATGAAAAAAAAATTTGACCATGCGAATAAATGATGCAAATGGATAGTGTCAAATGGAAAAAGACCCTGCTGGCTTTCAACAATATCTTTCTTGTCAAATATTATTTGTGATAATATGGCTACTGAGATTACCCCTACAGACAAGGGTGGGTCCAGAACCCAATTTTGGGAAGGGGAAGGAGATGCAGGTCCAAAAAAAAATTGGGAAACTTTTAATGTACCCTTTCATGACTCTCTGAGGGTTGAGGCTATATTGAATCTATTTCAAAGCTTTTGAAAGGAAAGGAAAAGAAAATTAATTACGTGCACTTTTATAAAAATTGTATTAATTACAATATTTCCACTTTGTCAAAGTACAGATCAGAAATGTGTACTTGCAGAGGGGCCCAATAAAAAGTAAAGGTTTTTAGTATGGCTCTTTATTACCAGAGACACATGTATATGATACATGTATGTAGAGATGAATACATACATTTACATGTACATACATGTAGTTCACATACAATAATGTACATGTAGCCTGGCACCCTGCTGTGTCACCACAATCCACTACTTGACAACTTCCTGAGGTCTTTTCCATGTAAACAAACCCTTACAGCAGTTTTACACGAAGGGTTTTGTTTATAAAAACAAACTGAAATCTGGTTGCTGATGAAATTTTCTCAAAAATCCTTTTTTCAACAAAAAATACCCCACACAAGCAATTCACTTGAAGCTCATTGTGATGTGACAACTGCATATACAAAGAGCAAGCAACATGTATCTGCATGCATTCAAAAGTGCTGCGCACACATCAGGTCCTTCCAAACCGGCATGTATCATGTTCAAGGGGCTCTCCATCCATTATCCTGTCTCTATATAAAGATCGGTGTGCCAATTTATTTCCAGTTAGAAGAGCAATTATGTTTCTACCAATACTATGATCCAATATCCTCATTAACATGGGATTTGTTCACCAAACAATTATGATGCAGAAATAAACCGATCAAGCGTTTCATCACTTCTCAGTTTCAATGGATTAGTTGGCCCTCTGGTAGTCAAGTTTTACTCATCTGTGGAGTTTTCTTCAACATTTCCATTGTTCTTTTCTCAAAAGCAACTGTTTAAAGAAAGTTTTCGGAAAACATTCAATGTACGTGCATTGTTTTAAATAAGCTAGTACTTGAGGAAGCCCATTAGGGTGATAGAGATGAATAACTGTTGTCAAAGATAACTAAATAAATCATAGATTTGTCTGTGACAGATCAATTGACTGCTTTGCCTTGTCAATGTTTGATTGTAGCCTCACTTCGCTTGTTCTTCCAAAATATGTCTAGCCTGGATTTCCATGTACAAGTACATGCTAAATGACCTATCTAAAAGCCTACCAATCGAATTCTGAGTAACATTTTATACCATAACAACTAGAGGGACATCACTACATGTATTTGCCCATAGACACAGTGCACGATCATTATAACTGTACCAAAATACATGTAGATTCTGGGATTTCGGTTTTTAAACTCTATTTCTTCAATGTGAGGCGTTTTGGAAGTAAACATTTCCAAAACACAAATCAAAAATTTTTGTTACAATGAAGCCAGGTCGATTCCTTCCTTCCTTGCTTGTCTTTGTCTAAAAGTTCTTCTTTTGTGTTTGAGATTCACGATTGAATATGCTAAGTTCATAGTTTCATTGTTTTACGCATTTTCATCTCAAGTTTATGTGTTTTACATGTTATTGAAATTGTTGTCCCCATAACATTCAACAAAATGTGTATGCATAGAATTCTATTGCTAGTGATATCTGAGAATAGTCGCCACTTAGATACTCACTGCCATAGGCTTCTCCAGCAAGATGTGATATCCTGCCACAGCACATGCAACGGCCGGGTCCTAAATTCAAGAAAAAGAAAAGCAAAAAAATCAAAGTCAAGTTAGTTGCTTGATCTAAAGCAATTAGCATTTACACAATTGAAACTCATTACACATTTTGACTAAAAATTTTACAAAATACCTTTCCAGGTACATTATGGGGACACTAGACCATTGAACATCATTCCATTTTTTTGCGTAGTTTTTGAAACATTTCATTCATTTTTACTGCTTTCATTGTATCATCCTCTTTTTATACACTTTTTATATTTGTTTTGATATTGCCCCTAACTGAAGGAGAAACTTGCTGATCTTCTTCAAGCTGTTAAAAGTTGTTGTTTTTGTGCTATTTTCTTCATCATCTTTCAGTATGGTATTGCCATTCCACATTTTGTGATCCCACATTGACCTCTTTTAATCTGCATCATACCATGCTCCTCTTGATTTCACAGACAGGGAATTCTCTGTGGATTTTCCATGGTGTGTCCATTAAGATTACTATCTAAGATTCCAGGACTGGAATACTGTAGTTGTATATGGGACCTTTACACAAAAATTAACATACTGCACTTGTATATGGGACCCATACGCACAAATCAACATCTGAATCAACAAGATAGACGCTAGTTAAAAAAGAGCTGCGAGGTATGCTCTTAATAAATACCATCCTAAGGAAAGCATGTCTTAAATAATTGAAGAATTGAAATGGCAGTCACTACAACTCGTCAAAGAAACACCAGACAACCAATATGTTACTGTATCTCCAACAACCAACAACCATCTCTTAGCCCACATAATTTTTTAACTCCAAGCAATCAAAGGAACATGCGGTTATCATCAGCTTAAGTATCGCCATATTTCATACTCACACGAGTATCTACAAATTCTACTTGCTCCGTCGAACAGTACCTTCTTAGAATAACCTCCCTGCATCAGTCACCTCTGCTGCATATTCCTATTTCAAAACAACCCCAGTACAACCTACATGTAGACGTTCATCGGTCTTACATGGACCCTTGGCATGATATCCCACTATGGGACTTTGCCAAGTGCCAACGTAGAAGTAAAAAAGAAGAATGAATCCACCACAAAATTGTGGGAAGTGTTATCCAAATTTTTTATGAACATAATTTTTAAAAGGAAAACACCAGCATGTACTTCATGCATTCACTTCCCTACCGATAAAAAAGACTTGCTTTTCACTGTGCATATAACTGGTCCTCTTAAAGATCACTGAGGCAAAATTAAAGAATATCATTTGCATATAAACCAAAGTAACAAATTCAATTGCATGTTTGAATAGTACAGTGTAGTACAAGGCAATGTGTTCCTACTCTGTGAAGATGGTCTGGAGTTGAGATAATGACAGCATCAGCAAACTTGTCTTGTGCTGTTATTTTGGTCCAATCTGCAATATAAGACAATTTAAATGGATTAACAAATGTAAATGCCACCTTCATGTACATTCATCTGCGATTGACTTTTTATATTAACACACAATGTACACATTCGACCATTCCCTGATGAGTACAGCCATGCCTACACAAACATTTTACAATCACTAATTACAGGGACTGAAACATGCATGGCCCGTATCAGCATCTATCCTATTCAAAGAGATGAATTATTGGCAACTTGCTTCTATTTCCACTGCATGACAACAATGTCAACAATCAGTCTGGGCTGAAATTATAGTGTATTTCATTAATTCCCCCCAAATCTGAAAGTTCTTTCAAGTACAATGTAAGATAGTTTGCCTGTGTATGATCTATTAGTTATATTACCATCATACAGTCTATCATCGGGAATGTTGTGAATTTTCTGCAGATGACTTCGTGCTACGATGTTGGGATCAGCAACTCCAACAACCTTTTATCACCATGACAAAGCAAACAAGCATTCAGGAGTAGAATAATAGTGCACATAGAGAAGTATTTCTTGTGTCATTCTTCTGAAGTGGTTTCAGTGTGCATGTACAGTATATACCTTGAAGTAAGCTCTTTAATGCAGATCTAAAGACAGAACCTCATTAATCAAGCCATAATTGTGTACAGTGTACAAATTTGTGTAAAATTTTACTATGTGAATATTCAGTCAATGTAGAAAAGGTGCCATGAGTAAAATATTATTAAACCAAATGACTGATACATAATTAAATGTATTCATTATATAACTTCATATAACCTTTCGTCAAATAAAACTATATGTAAATAATTGTCAGTTTAACTATTCAAATATAATGACACCAATTCAGATGTGTCTTAATGTTAGTAAGTTGCATACAATTTTCATTATTTATTTCACAATTCCATTATATAATTGAAACTTACAATTATTTACATATAAAAACTTTCTCAGACCAAATGCATTACATGTATGTCAATCAATTATGTATGAATAAATTAGTTTGAAAGCAAAATTACGCAATAACTAAATAATTTCTTTACAAATTTTTTCACTCATGGCACCTCACAAAAACATGAAAAAAATAAGGGGCACTAAAATTCCATCACAGAAGCTCCAATAGATTCAGCTTCCAGTATACATGTACAGTACTCAAATGATTTAAATGATTTGATTGTCTGTGAAAGTACCTCAAAAGTAAGGTGTTTTCCATCACGAAAAATAAACACATTACTAAAAAGTAATTAACTATAGACAGTACGTACATAACTACACTTGACATACAACCATGAGACAGTCCCAACCAGAGCTGCAATGATGCCAGTCAATGAATCAACTCGAGTCCATTTCTAGTCACAATTTTTGGCAATGTGACTCGGGTCTCAATGGGTAAATAACTCGAGTGAAAGTTAGTAAGACTCAAGTCCCGAAAATAAAAGCAAATTTTAAAAGAAATGGCAGTTTATAATGTTCACGATATATATCATCATCAGAGGTAACATGTGGTGTAACCACATAGAAACCAAGAAAGAAAATTAAAAACTGCAAAAACAAAAACAAACTTGCTCTCATTTTTATTGTATTGTGTTCAAATATTGGCACCCCTTAGGGGCGTCCAAAGTTTTCAACATTTTCTCAGTCAACAAAGCGTACAAATGGGGAGGGGGTCATAAACCACATGCAACTTTTTTGGTCCAGTAAGATGTTGATTTTTTGTAGTATTCTTATTTACACTGTATATGTAAAACGAGAAAATCAAGAAAAAGCAAGCATGACATGTAATCACCAGTCGCATGCTGAAAGGTGGCTCTGATGGATGTACATTATGTACGTGTACATACATGTACTTTCCAGGTACTGTAGGCCTATCCGCTGTGATGCATGGTACGGCCCAGCACATACCACATTGATATGATGTGAACGCTGCAGGTGTGTGTACATCTACATCTACAATGTACGTGAAGCCCAGCCTATGAGTGCAAGCACACAGCGTGACATGCCAGCAGTACATGTGTACTAAATAACCTTTGACACTGTGGTGCATCGTTCCCAATGCTGTATCCATATTTACCCACATAATTTTGTCCTGGTGCCGGGGACAAGCATGAGATCATCTCTGATGAGAAAAATGTTTCAATATCAACTATGCGTCTAAATAATGTTTTTTCATATTGAAACTCTTTATGAAGGTTGAACATGAAGGTTTTCAAAAATGCACATCTGTATGCTTAATAATGGGCACTTTACAACAATGTAGTGAGTACAGGAGTTTGTGAATAACTCAAGATACCGAAAGAATAATGTTGATAAGTACTAATTGGGGGCCTTGAAAAATAGTACTCTGTGTACTACTGTGAAAATGTAGAAAACTTTGGATGACCCCTAACTGAGTTGGGAGTCGTGGGCGAAATACTTGACTACACTTTTTAGCCAAATGACTTGATTTAAGTCACTTTATTACAATGACTTGACTCAACTTGAATCACTACATTATTAAAATAATGACTCTGGTCCAAACTGTACGTACTATTGAGACCAATGCTATACATGTCATTGGTTGCCAACATACCTTCAGCTTTTCAGGGAAGTCCAATGCATAGTTACTGTACATCCTCCCCCTTTGCCCTGCACCAATGACAATAACTGTCACTAGTGGCATTTTAACTCTTAGCTTTAGTCGCACATCATGGGGCTAAAATCTTTACATACTATCCAGCCTGTAACATGGCCCACATATGCAAGAAACAGTCAACTGAATCTTCTTCATCCAACAGTATACCCTCCACACTATCTCCTGGCTTCATCCAACAGTGTAACCCTCCTTGCTTCATCCAGATACATATAAAGTACCAACCTGAAACAAAATAATGAATCCACAAAGGGAAAACATTAAAGGTGTGTGTTAACATGGCTAATGGATCAGTCTTCGACACTTTCTACAGGCCACAGTCTAGTCACCTCCAAGAATATGAGTATTTACAGTAATTGTGCCAATTATTGGATAACACTGATCCATCCAAAGGTCAGCACGTACTTGTATGGCTTGGGGTGACTTCAATTTCCCTAGCATCAACTAGAGTACATGCACTATGTCAACCATTCCAGGAAGATAAAAACCTAGTTTAGAGCATGATTTTATCAATATCATTCATGATGAACAAATGGTACTTGCCCCTTCCTTTATGGGCAACATTTAGGACTTGTTTCTCATGATAAACCCTATCCTACCCTTGTGGTGAATACATGTTCAACAGTGTAGCCCGGTATGAGTGATCACAATGGTTTACTTCTTGTCACAGTTAACAACAAACCCTGCAAGATTCAGCAAAACCCAAAGAAAATTTACTTCTATAGGAAAGCTGACATCAAACAGCCTGAAGGAAGTGACTAAAGTCAAAACTGGCTGGTCACATAGTCATCCTTTATGACAAACATGATTACCCTGCAGATTGTTTGGTTTGACTTCAGAGTTGGCTTGACTGAGGCAATGGACAAGTTCATCCCACTAAAGCTCATCACCAAGGGTGAACAGCCACCATGGATCACTTAAGACATTAAGAGACTACACAAATGCAAGCAACAAACTAACAACTAGTACAAGACTAAATGCCAAGAGGATAAAGAGAGGTATAAAATCCTCTGGAAAGAAACATAAATGACAATACAGGAGATACGAGAAACAAATTCTGCAAAGCAACGTCTAAGAGCTTCTAGATATTTTATTGCGCTATTAGAGATAAGGTACACCTGATTTCTGGAAGCATGCAGACAGCTGAATTCCTGAATGACCAATTTAGGAAAGTGTTCGCTCAACAAAACACTGAAAACATGCCATGATTGGACAGTATTGTTTTCCAACTGTGCCAGAACTTGCCATACACACTCTGACAGAGCAGAAACTTCTTGCACAACTGCAGTCCAACAAAACAGCAGGCCCGTACAATCTATCTGCTTACATACTGCAGGAGTGTGCATCTGAAATTGCTCCAGACCTCACCTACATATGGGTAAGAAATTAGGGGTCTAAAAATGTGAGATTTTTGTGTCCCTGTTACATCTGACCTTTGTTATTTGACATGAAAATATCAACGGAATTGATTTAAAACTATCACTATTTGTTTGGCAGGTACTCTGCATTGATTCATGGAACTTAGAAAATGTGTTTTAAACTTACAAAACCATATGTCAGATGTGACAGGGACAAGAAAAAAATGGACCCCAAATTTCTGGAATTATCCATATTTGAGTTCACTAGACATGTGTATCCTAACAAAAGACTGAAGAGTCAACATCAGCTCCATCTTCAAAAAAGGAGATTGAACAGATAAATACTGACCAGTATTTATATTGCTGACGATAATACATGTAGAGTATGCTGCAAATTCATAGAACATATTTAACACTTTAACATATGACCACTCTAAGCAGAAGAAAATGGACTGCGTACATGTACTAAACATTCCTGTGAATCCCAGCTCATCAAGACAATACATTGTACATGACCTGGCTTCTGCACTTCATAACAGAAAGCAAACAGAATGGCATTCGATAAAGTAGCCCAAAATATATATCCCCCCAATGGGGGGATGAGCTATTGAATCATCACCTCCCACACCCACTTTTTGTGGTAAGCGAAAAATTCAAGCAGATTGTGAAGAATTTTTTGGACTTCCCAACACTACAATGCATTCGATATCATTCAAAAAGGAAAAACAATTTTAAAATGCCACAAATGTTTCATTCTTACAGATGTACATCAGTATCACGAACATTGGACCTCTATAAAGTGTCATACGGTGTCATCCTCCCAAGCCACTTTTCAAATATCCATGGCTGAGCATGTCATCCCCCCACTTTTCCCCATCCCCCCATTTCCGGTACAAATTTACACCACTGCAGATTACTCAAAAGTAATTCAGAAAGGCTAACAAGAGTTCTCCCTGCAGTAAAAGGCTGTGACAGAGTGACCAGAAAATTACAGTCACGTGCATCTCATTGGTCAGAAGTTTTTCACACTTCCAAATTTGCATCGTCAGGATAGCAGCAGTCATGTGCATGTATCCTTGATGCGTTGACATCACAATATGTAGCAACCTCAGATGGAACCAACACATCAACAAGATTACTTCCTTTGCGAACCAAGTTTAAGCTTTCTATGTTGCAACTGCTCAAAGAGACCCAAGTCCGAGGCTTACACGTACATGTACCATACTTGTCAGGACCCCAGATTCCTTGGCCGCTTTGGATCCTTATATGCAGGAAGTCATATCAAAGCTGTTCAACATAGGGAAGTGAGATTTGTGCTCAGACAAAGACTATGACTACATCATGGCCTACGGCCCATCAGCTATGATCCGTGCATTGAAATAGGATCTTCTTTCACTTACAAAATAAAGGGGGATGCGTAAACATCTTCCACAATGTATGTAGTCATCTACTTGTAGTCATCCCAGCAAGAGCCATCGTAAGGCCCTCCACACATTAATCTAGATCTTCCAACACATACACCTTCAACTACATGTACCATACATGCAAGAAAAGATTGCTATTTAGTTTTTCCTGATGGAGGACAGTAAATGAGTTTTCTGCACAAGAAACTTGGAAACTGCTCAACCAAGAGTGATGTGCAAAAATAATTCTACCTCGAGCTGAGGGATAAATCGCATAAAGACCAATTAAAGGCACTCTGGAAACAACAAGGAGACTATGGTTTCCTCTATCCTCAAACGAGTTGACCGTCTGGGGCCACATACATGTAGTACAGTGCATACACAGCCACTACAACTTAGCACAAAAACAAGGTCAAGGAAGTAAGGCATGTTAGAAATTAAGGAAAGAGGCAATGTCATCTGAATCTACATGTACGTCATTTGGTCTGAGAGTGGTGGTAAACTGTTGAAACAGCCTACTCGCAGAGCATGCCATGGTGGAAGCATGGTGGCAGCTCAAAATCCAATGGAAATGGTTTGAACCCCTATGCTGAAATGGGCATAACACAATGACTTAACACACTCCAGGTAACAGCTACTTAGACTAAACCTTAACATTTGGACATACAATATTACAAATCACCTTTTTAAACATTCGGACATCACCCGACCATGGCCAGATGTAAAAAGGTTAACTTGTAGGGTCGAGATCGGACTATTATTAAACAGCTACTGTACGTGTGGTACGGGTATTAAAGTTGGCCTACGTTTGGCTGTCTACACGTCATGAGAGGACCATAATTTATAAGAGATTTGAGGACCAGCCTGAGAAAAACATTTAACGTACTTAGACGTGTCTTCTCAATGGAGACTGTAACGTTAGTTACTCATCCGGGCAGCCATCTTTCCGCTAACTTCTTTTGTTAACTAGACGTAGATATGTGTATCACAAGGGCCCCTAAATCTAGGCAAACAAAACTCGGGTTCATCGTCCTTCGCACTCCAACATCATATAAAACCCACACCGAGGTATTATTGATGTAGCCTGCTGCCCTCACATTGATTGTTCTCCTCTGATATATAAAGTAGGTGACTTGAGAAATATTGTTGACCTTGCATTTTATTACCAGTGAAATTTCATTAAAAACCCAATAATTTGATTAAAAAATCTTACTTTTGAATATTCGATCACCCGCTAAAAAAAGTTCTCACGAAATTTCAGTTTGGCTTTATTTTCCAATTTTTTTCTTTGGAAATAATGCGGCCAAAAAAAAAAGAATTAGGAAAAAAAAATTCTAATAAGCTTGTGGTTAGGTTCAGTGTACCATGGAGGATGTTTGTACAAAATGTAAACCTAGCACGGGCGTCAATAGGTGGGGGACGGGGGAAAATCTCCCCCACCTTTCCGGGGGGGTATATATCAAGTGTCCCCCACCACTTTTTTCCAAAGCCAACATGAAAATGTATAGCTTGAAAAAGCATTTGTAAAAACTGGCTGAAGTAGCCAAAAAGATTTTTCAGATCCCCCAGGCGGGTCTCGGACCCCACGCCGCTCGAGCTTCGCGCTTGCATTTGTTCTGATCAGGGCTATGCCCCCCCCCTTCAAAACTGATTGACGCCCTTCGAGTGGAGATAATAATAATTCATCAGAATTCAATGAACTTTAAAGAATTTTTTTAATATTATTGCGTTCCCTAACTATCACGTCGATTGTAGCATGGACTTTATTAGTATCTACGGGATGTGATATTCGGGGTCAACAATTTTATTAAAAGGTCTACGGGAAACAAGGGGTTTGGGTGACTGTCAAAGTGTATAGTTGGTTTATTGCTCTCATTTCTCTTCATCAAAGTTCAATGTGGGTTTGCAGAAGGTGTAGCTTAACATAATACAACACATAAAAGGCAAAGTTATAGAGAGGCGAAGCTGTATACAAGTGTAACTGAATTACAGTTTGGCAAGACCATTGGAAATGCAAGTTAGGTACGGTACGGGTGTGTAGTATCGCACAACACTCATGGGGCCGTGGTACTGTGAGAGCTGTCCTGTTCCACCACGGGGTGACTAGCAACAGAGCCAGCGCCAATGTACCGACCGCACTGCTGCTCAGACCGCAATGTGATGAGCGCAATGATAGAATTGCCGCACTACAGGGTGTATAAAAAAATACACAGTCAGGAAATTAACTGCACAATAAAACTGTGAACTTTTTCGAAAATCTCTTCTCCAACATGGGTTGATTAGAGTATCATGCTGTTATTAAACTTGTGATCATGAACAGATTTCCACGCTTGAGTGACCAGGAGCTATTTTCCTAAATCGCTCAAAAATTGGCTTGCGCAAACACCTGCTTTGTTCAGAATTAGATCAAAAGTCCAGAAAAACAAGTATGGTATGCGCTTTGTTCCTTGGATTACTTTGGAAGGTTTCTTTGAACTTCGTCTTTTCCCACTTACAAATCCACACAAAAATGTCGGTAGCACAAGTAATGAGAACGGCAATTTGGTGTTCATTAGTTTGATTTCACTGCATACCACTGGACAAAAAATGTTTGCAATTGCAAAATTGGAGGGCCCTCTGTGCCACTGCCTCATTCTTTAGCGCTGAAATCAATGAAACAAGATGGTCAGACCGCAGTACACCCCCAGCAAATCTGTTCTTGATCAGAAGTTCAAGAAGAGCATGATACTCTGATCAACCCATGTAGGAGAAGAGCTTTTCGAAAAATGTTCACATTTTTAATTGCAGTTAATTTTCTGACTGTATGCTTTTTTTGATACACCCTGTATGTACCAATGGCTCCGCGTAGGGATGGGGAGGACTGGGCTAGTAAGCAGGACATGGGTGGCGAGGGACACGGGGTGTCTCGCTGGGCAACCGGTTCGGACGTAGCGGTGACGGGCCGCTATGACTCTCACCAGCACCCTGGGCTAGTTCGTACCACTCTCGCATCGGTCCAAGCTAAGCCAGTTGGGCATTCATATGGTTACATTTCTTCGCCATAAGAATGGTTTGCATTTCTCCCGGAAAGGGTCCAATCGCCGCACCACGTTAGGTTTCGTTCGGTTTGGTCCACGCCGCCGCAAGTGCTAGTGACTGACAAGCTAGAGGAAATCTGCTCTATTTATAGGATTCTAGAGGCTTAGGAATTAATAAAATATAAGCATCGTTGAACAACTCAACCAATGGGAATCTTCCATCTCAAAGGGTCACATGACTTCCTGCTAGAGTCGTGTGCCAGAATCTCGGCGTCGCGTGTAAGGTGAAATACAGAATAAGAAGTCACGTGTGAAAAGTGTAAGCTGGGTGCGTGGAAGTGTTTACCAGGTCATCTGTGGGGAATGGCTAACTGTTACGAAGTCTGAGGTTTCTAAATATAGCATTCCAGGGAACCGTACCACGCCCAACCACGCAGCCACGTGGAGGGGAATTTCCAACATGCCAAACTGAGCAGAGAAAACAGAATGACAAACTTTGAAGGAGTGAAGGAACACGCGACCACGCCAGAGTACAGCATGAATAACGTAATACAAAATTAACGTCTCTACTACATTTCCACAATGCATAGCTGGGCTAAATAAGAGACCCTGAGAATGCAACTGAAATACCAGAACGAGTAAAACTAGGGGGAGCTAGAATTCCAACAAGATTTGCGGGTGCGCAACAACATGATTTTTGTGAGATTTTCTGTGAAGTTTTTGAAAGTGTGCCACGTTAGGGAAGACTTGGCTGAATTCTTGTCCATGTTTACGCCGCCATTTTTTTAATTTCGGTCTACATTTTATGACACTTAAATTGTTCATAAAGGTTCAACAGCATGTATTGTTAAGGTTATAGTACCAATATTTAACCAAATGAATTCGATACTGATGGAGAAATCGAATATCGTACTCCGCACTGTGTCTACTTGGAAAAATCGGTACAAGTACTCGAGTTTTGATAATCGACTACAAATGATTTAGCCAGTTACAAGTCAGTGCCCTCTTTGGGTGAGCCTATAAAGGTTATTCATAAATACCTCAGATAGTTTCCCTATTCAATAACGCGCAAAGTGTGCCTGCTGCTTAAAAAATCCCTGGCACCGGATACGAGACAGTTAAAGGTCAAAAGTCTGCCTCTGACGTAGTCTTGGGCAAAGACAGCAGAACTCGGCGACAGCCAGTCAGCGACTCGGCCCCGCTCACGCCGATTTCTATTGCGCCCTCTTGTTACTACATTTCACTAATCGAGAACGAGCCATCGATTGGTAAAATGAAGTCACAAGAGGGCGCAATAGAAATCGGAGCGGGGCGCGGCGCGGGGAGAATTCAAGCGAGAATTTCTGGCAAGCTCATAAGCATTAAAAGTACCCTCGACTGTATCTTTTGAAAAAGGAGATTGTATGGCCCCCAAAATGGTGGGATTGTGTAAATCTTTGCCAGAATCAACTCAACTCCCTGGGTCTTTGGGCTTTCATATGAGAGCAGAATGGCTAAAAAAAATACTGTTGAAAAATAGTCTTAAGTGCCCGAGAAGGTTGAGGGTTGTCACTTGAAAAATGGCTGCAAGCAGACTTTGGAAATATCACTTTTTGGGGGTTAATTTTGTTTTGAAGGAATAACTCAAAATGTAATCGGTTAACCCACTGAAAATTGAAAGAAAAGAAAAGATTATGGACCATACAATAATTTGGAGTGTTTTTCAGATGCCTCAGGGATATTGGTACGCATATTATTGGGCCCCGAACAATGATGATTTTACACTGTTTTCAATGGGGCCTGGATCAGTGGACTACACCCATAAGGTAGCACTACACCAATACGCGCCCACAGAAAACAGAGCAAAATCGGACCGAAACAGCGCCGACTGTTGACTCTCGTAAAGAGGTTGGCCTCCGTTTTTTCACTGGAAATGCAAGATTATGGCCAAAAGATTACTTTTCGTTTCAATTTCGCCAATTTAGCCACGAAAAAAATTTATTCGCCTTTCAAGGAAAATTCATTTCTGAATGTAGCCTCCCGCCTCTATCCAAAATAGGCCCGCAGTTTTGGGCTTTTTGTGAAAGAAACACCCCGAACTGGAAAGTATCAATCCCAAATTCGGGATTTATAGAAATATTTCTATGACCCATCCTGGTTAGGGTCTGTCTTATTGCAAAAATCCCGTGGTATCACAAAATATTAAGGAACTCTCGCGCAGAAATACAACGATTTGGTGGACTGCACCCATAATGCTCGATCGAGTCTGCTATCGAGTTCTGCCGTCTTGGCCTAAGACTACGTGCGATGCGGCGCACGCAGAACACGCCACATGCGCGCTAAGTCCATATATAGAGTTCTTCTCGACAACTTGCATAAGGAATACACGATAAAGGGAGGAGGGTGTTCGGGAAAATTAAGAAAAAATACTTGGAAATCTATCATATATTGATATATTTTGCCCTCTGACTGAAAAGATATTTATGCATGGGAATAAGTAATTATGTGCTTGTTATGGCTGGTCCTGAACGCACTTTCAAGACCGGCTAAGCATATTTCATTCCCTTATAAAGCCTGAAAGTTTACCCCTGATGGCGCGCTTACGGAACTCTTGGATAAGGAAAATAACGTGCAAAGATTTTAGAATTTGTAATTTTTTTTGTTCAGTTTCCTCTTAAAAAATCCAACTTGGACAAAGGGCTTTGAAAAATATTTGCTAGCATATCAATTCATAGAAACTGAAAAATTACCTGACCTAGAAGAGAAATATCCTGCCAAAAACTGACCGATCACTTCCGAAAATCTAAAATACACATGAAGAACAGTGTAATGCGGCAGTCTTGTGCGTAAATGAACATTTACGATTTGAAATTTTATGGTAGTTAGTGGGTACAAGCCGAAATAAAAACAGATCAAAATATTTCACACACTTTTATAATTTATAAGGTAATAAAAATAAAGCAATATTCAACTTTCACGAAAGATTATGATATTTTATCTAACCTTTGCTGACAAAAACTGCTTGATGTCAACTCAATGGAATCTCGACTGCAGGTAGGTCAATCTTCGCAAGGTTGTACAAT